TATAAAAGCACACTAACTTTGAATTTGTATCAACAACAACCGTTCGTTTTCTACAACTGTTGTTTTCTTCGTCTAAAATGTCTATGAAAGTAATTTTTTAGGATGTTCCATTTGTCGTTCCTTGTCCTCATATCTTAATAAAAAGAATAAAAATACACTGAGAATTTTTGTGTCACCTTGTTAAATGGCAGAGCTTAGTCTTAGAAAGCAGTACTTTCCTTCAAGACTGACAATGATTGTTTTCTACTTTTGGCTACTTTAGATCGCCAATGAAATGTAAAATAATAGCAAATATAGGTAACAATATGTTGAAAGAGATCTTATCCTTAAGAAACAGGTGCAATACAGTTTGTCCGAGTGGAGTTGCCATATGTTGACGTCATAAGAAGGGGCGGGGCCCCGAGCAGATCTGGTACCTACAGTGGAACCCTTTGCTGCAAGGCAAGGCCACTGAGCAACTGAGTAGCCTATATTTGCAAAACATTTAACATTTTTATTTGTCTTTCCAATTTCACACAATCCAGCTATATCTGTCCTCAGTATTTAACCCACTCCATGGGGAGTAGTGGGTTACCCCTATGCAGCCCCACAGAAAGCCTTCCGGGGTTTAAGGTTTTGCTCAGGGACCTCCGTGAAATTTGAACTAGCAAACTTGTAGCCTTCTCAGAACATGAGCTCCCTACTTTAACCACCAGACCAAAGCATGGTAGTTAAAAGGGACTAAAAAAGTTTTTTTTCTTTCCCTGTCATTTAACCAAAGCGCATTGTCACTAATGGCCTTGTGTCTACATTTTCCCGTTTAGGTTACAGTGGTGCCTTTCATACACTTGTTCACAGCATTATAAAGCTGGAACATGTAGTGATCAAAGAAGCAAGCCATTCAGATAATGGACTTGTGTCTGTACTTGTCCTGTTAGATAGTGCCACATTTCATACCATCAATAAAGGTCAGTAATTTCTTACAGAGGAACGGACACGCAGTAAGAATGGGGGAAACAGCACCAGGCTGCTTTACATTACATTCCTCTGACACATTACAATTAGTTTAGCTGGAATGTTTTTCATGCAGTGGATTTACTTGGATAGGCGTGTTCAGATATTTTTTCATTTCTGGTATAATAGAATCATTATTTTGTAGTGTGGAATGTTAGAAAATTTTATTTTCACCTGATAAACTCTTGGCCCATTCTCCATAGCGTGCAAGATATGTGAAAGATATGTGAAATGTTTATGAAAAAAGTGTATTTTCCCTTGATTTGAGCTATTAAGTAAGACCATTTTCCAATTAAATGAAATCATTTATATTTAAAGTGATAATTCCAAGTGTAAAATATTTACTTATTTTAATGTAAAATACTAATTTAATCGGTAGTTAATCTCATTTACCTGCTCAATGTAAGAGCAAATACAGTTTTTTTAAAGAAATTCTGCTTACTGTGAGATTATATTGATCTGATACAAAGTAAATACAGGGCAAGTATAGCTGATATTAAGATCAATACCTATATTTTTTAATGTCCAACTTTAAAATCTGACTTCTGATTTTTAAATGTTTTTGGGGTTTTAAGTTTGTCCAACATATGTACTATTTTGATAAAATTATGTTATCATAAAAAAACAGAAACAACGAAAACAGAGAAAACATTTGTATTTCTTCAAAAAAAAAAAAAGTAAAACATATTTGAGGTCATGAGACTACAAAAAAAAAGGGGTTTTCTGAAACAAAATTAACAATATACAATAAATGTTTTCAAAGTATTCAAAGAATAATTTTCAGAAGCCTTAGTGTGCGCCTGTCCCCCCGTGCAAAACAAGTGAAAACCCGAAAGTGTGTGTAGGGGTGTGGGTGGGTGTGCATCCGTCTAGCTCTCAGAGTGAGGACCATTTTCCCAATTTCTCCATCAAATTGAGGACCAGTTGTTGCAAAGTGACGACATTTTGCCGGTCCTCACATGCTATTTTGCTAATGGTTAGGTTTAGGACTAAGGTGTTGGTAAGGGTTAGGGTGAGGTATGCATTGGTAATGGGTAGGTTTAGGGATAGTTTTAGGGTTAGGGCATAAAAAGGGTTGAAAACGACTGAAAATCAATGGGAATCAACACATGGTCCTCACTACGATGGAAGAACGAGTATGTGTGCTTGTGTGAGACATGGGGGATGTCCTACTTTGTGCTGGAAACCTGGTTGTTGCATTTTGAAACCATCACAAACCATCGGAAGTTCATAAAAGAGTGAATCTAAAACTGAAGTATTGATCTAACCATGATGGCATAGATCCAATAAAATACCGACCTGGTAACGATATTATCAATATTTTTGATTGATCAGTTCACCTCTAATATCCAGCACCTTATCCTACCATAGTTTTAGCTGTTTGTAAAACAATAGCCCTCATCACAACTCTTTACAAAGAGCAATAGTGCCAAGTCCTCAGTCTCTGTCTGCAGTTTACCTGCTTTATGTATGCTAAGAAATACTACAAGCAGAAACATGGCTGGGGTATTGAACCCAGTTTGCCCCATTGTCATAAACCTACACATGGAAAAGGTAGAAAAGAGGGGCTGGGCTAGAGATGGGGCTGGGGGGGCTTGGCCCTTCTTAAGGCTAGTTTATACTCCGAAACCAGGTCATCTGCGTGTGTGTCACAGATAACGCAGATATGCCCCCGCCCCTTCCGCAGACACTCTGCTGCACCTCTCCCAAATTGTAGGTGACCGCAGACAGGAGGCATCTGATTGGTCAAATCTACATTTTCACTACTCTATGCGTATTTCCTGTTTGGTACTGTACCTGCTTGTTTTGATTGTATGACCGCTATTGTGGAAAACAACTCGTGAAGCTGGACCAGCTAGAATAGCTAGGTGCGCGAGAACGCTGGGAACCTTTTTCCACCTGGATCCCCTCTCTTTTTCGCCCTCAGTCCTTCTGTTGTCGCACAAACTTGCCTCCACTTCCTCGGCGCCTCGGCCGTATCTAAACCCACACCTAGTTTGTGATTGTCCCTCTTGCGTTGTGTCTTGGAATAACATAGCGCAGACCACGCTTCAAATAGCAGAATCTACTCACCCAAACTCTCCAGCGGCAGCCATTATTGTTGTCAC